GAGAAAAGCAAGATAAATGTGGAAATGTGCAGCCCATCTCTGTTTTACATATTCAAATAAAAATAATACATACATGGAAAGGGAGGCAAGGCACGGCGTTGGGGAAAAGCCCTGTAGAACGCGGCGGTGGGAAGAAGGAATATCCTCCCGAGAAGCTGCAAAGGCACAGTATTAATCAAGCATAACAAAGTGGGAGATTGTCAAAACTATGATCTTTTATCATTCACAGGGAAAGTAATTAAAGCAGAAACCATGAAAAGCAGTCTCAAGTTGAAAAAAAGAAAAAAAATTATAATTTAATATTCCATTTGTTTTGGGGTCAGGAGGACCTAAGGGAAAATGACTGACCTCCTCAACCCCTGAAAACACCCGTGACTAGAAAAAGAACAGTCATGCTTGCGAATTGGGTAATGAGCCAAGGCACATAATAGATAGGAGCATGGAAAATCACTTAAGGAAGGGGCATTGGACCTGGGTCCATCGGCGGATCACCAACGCCGCGGACTAACTGATGCGTCAGAATGGCCACTTTTGTCGCTAGCCAATCGGCCAGTGGTTGTGTTGTGGATTCGGCATATACGCGAACTGTGTTCTCCGTGCCTGCGGGACGTACGAAAGCACGGGACGCATTTGGTCGTCCGGTAGCCTGTCGAACGGAGTCAACAACTTTGTCTATCGCATCCTGAAAGAATGAGTGAAGAGGGATGATAATAAGCTTTTAACGTGTAAACCGACGAACACACGCCCAATTAATGATAAAGGACGAAAATGGGATATGTTTCCGAAGATACTTCGAGTGAAAAACTTGAAAGCGGTTCACTGGTTATCGCCTTTCTGTTAGTTTATACGGTGGATTGTATCGAGGATCAGGATTCATCTAGCAAGTTAGCGATTTGTTACTGATCAGCCTCTCCTGGGGAAATTCCATTTGCTGCCTTCTCGTGGCCGAGATGTAGTGGTTTCAGCCTGACAATGTAATATGCTAGGGAGTTGATGCCATCAGTATTTTTGCCTGGTAGCAGATATCAAACACTTGGAACATTTTCTTCTGAGTTCTTCACCTCTTCTGGTATAGACTGTCAAAAACCTGATGCTACTTATTCAGCAAGGTTTACCACTTTACATAGGTTGAAACCATTTCATCACAATAAGCGAATTAATGCCATACGTTCGCTTGTTGACCTTTGTGATCACAGAAACTCTCGTTAAACTATGGCTGTTTTTAGGAAACATTATAATTTTCCCTTTACCAACCGACCATTAATATTTGCTAATTATCGGGTACACAACGAATTCGGGATCTGAAGTTGGCTGGAAGATTTGATGACTTCCTTATCTACCTAGGATTTGAAAGCGAGAAATCAAACAGTGGAGCTATGGTCGGGTTGATATGTCATCTGCAGCCAGATCGTATATGATTGTGGACCAATCTCCACTCTAAGCTACGGGTTTCATGGTCATCGGTGAGGTCCGAAAAGCGTATGATCTAGCCAAAGGGAAACTCAACCGTGAAATTTAAGCAAACCCCGCCACCTTTCGTAGAAGGCTTGGGAGAACGTCACCAAGTCACCTTCTCATTCTGTCTAACATAGTCCATTACATCACCGACATAACCGCGGAAAAAATACTGACGTTGTACAACCATCTGCGTTCGTTTTCTCTGTAATCATGACACGGTAGTGGTACCTTGACTTTTCCATGGTTACAGTTAATAACATACAGTGACTAAACATTCTGGTCATGAAATTCACTACAAACACTCAATCCTACATTTGGGTCGTGCCCATAATGCGTATTCGGTTGAATGGTACTTCTCCAGAATGAGTATCCTTCCGGTAGATGTCACGTACCAACGTACATTAGGAATAAAATGTAGAAATAATGAAATTGTTACAAATAGACGAGCATACATATTGATATAATTAATGTGGTACTTCGAAAAACCATTAATTCAGACAAATCATCCTCGTCGCGAGTGTGGTGATCGTTGGTTGTGCTGCTAACTACACGCCTGTAGGTCGAATTCGTCCGCTACAAATAAATGGACTTCAGATTACATCATCGCCTGGAAAACAAATTCTTTCGCAGATTTGTAATTGATGTCTACTAGATGTGATGTGAATATACTCAACCTGATGTTCATCTGCTTCGGCTCACAACAGTCCACTGGATTGATCTCCCCGTGACCAGAGTGATTCTAGACACTATAGAACGGACGAGTATTGCTAGCTTGTGGGTTGATGTGCTTGTACGAATGTGGATTCCTATCTTTGCACATGTCGCCAAATCGTGAGGAATTTTTAACCAGACCTCGGAATCCAGAATAGCGTGCATCGTGCTTGGAGAAATTGTTTTAAAAAACTTCGGGTGAGGGAAAGGATTAAGAATTTACTTCAAGTTGAAGACCGATTGAGGTAAATAGAAAAAACGTACTTTTTCAAAATTAAAAACACTAAATAAACATATTTATATTGCAGAGAAGGATCTGCAAAAGTTCGAACGAATCACGAAGTACCTGCAAAGAGGATGGATGTGAAACTCGGCGTTCCGAATCCACGGTTTGGATAAGATATGGTTTCGCAACAGCCACTCGAAGTCGACGTGAAGCACATTCCTTGTAAAGATTGGCCCAGTCAGACATGGACCAACCGAGATGGGCCAAAGCGTATTCAACCATAAGGATACCCGTGATTCCATCACCAAAAGTGGTATTGGTTAGACCGGCAAACACGGAGAGCGGATGATCGGGACCCAAGGATTCAATGCGTTCGAGTGCAGCCGGAGAGTAGGAAACAGTGCCATGACCACTGGCCTGGCAAATTGCACAAAAATGACAATTAAGTTGAGGATAATTATTCCTCATCATAATCGCACGCCGGAGATTGAACTGAAATTTTTCAACACCATAAAAACAAATTCAAAATTTCAATGTTACACCGTATAGCATCTGAAACAGTATGTCTGGGACGGGGATATTAGGTTGTGATTGGTCAACCCAGGTGACCTGTGCTATGCTGTTAAACGAACGAGTATCTCAAATAGTATTTGCTGTAGAAGACGCTCGCACCGTCTGCACGTGGCGGTTTCCTCACCAGAATGTGAGGACGACAAGCGAACCGGTTTGGTGAACTAGTCAACTCTCTGCGAGTAACTGTCGGTGGTTCACGAAACCGGCTGAAACATAGGACCCCTGACGATCAGAAATCAAACTATATGTTTATCGATTCATCCTCTTATACAATGGCTAGTACGTATAATTGCGAACCAATTCACAAACAACTGGTCTTTCATAGTCACCAAGATGGTTCGCAGTTAACATGGACAAGTCTTATTAAATACCAGCTTATAAAATCCATTGACAAGTGCTACTAGAAAACGGGTACCTATCTAAACTCCCCAGCAAAAAAACATGGATCAAACCCATTGCAAGTGCTTAAAAAGAGAACTATCTCAGATGATCCCTTTCAAAGAAGATTCATTCACCGAAAGGGCAGTGCAATCACTTATAAGAGGGGTTAGTTGCATCTCCTTAACATTTGGACCTCCTCGGGACTAAGTATGAACCGCCTACGCTGACTGCAAGCATGCTTGTGTACTAATTCACTAGCACCTGTAATGCACATAGGTAACAGTTGTTTGTTCCTATCTCAAGGGAAATTATTTCAAATGATTGCTCAGAGTAAAGCAAGTGTCATCTTTAACTTTGAAAGTAGCGCATTCAGCAGATAGTGGTCACCGGATAAACCCTGAAGGAGTGCTTTTGAGTATGCACCGAGTCATACCCAACCGATCAAAGATGGTGGTGAACTCAGGCTACGGCCGAGGTGATCATCATTCCTCTGTGAAAGCCCAACCTCTGTGCGCAAAAGCTACCAGTCCAGACGCTCAAGCGCGGAACAAAGAACAGATCAATACCAGACCAGACCGAAATAACGTCTGTACAAAACTGTAATAAGCTACCTTCGCCCCAGTGGCACGTGTTACCTCTCTTCTTGTTCTCTCTTTTTTGAGACCTGTTACGTCACCTACTTTCTAGACAGTGACTAATGAGCAGTATTGTGCACTTATTTATGAGTTGTGAGGATGAATACTACTGAATAAATTGTTAAACTAACTCTTGGAAGGATCAAAAGCAAGAAACCATCCGCTTACACTATGACAATGATGACAATCGATGTAACTGTTCGCAATTGAACGGGAAAACAGTGGATAATTTTCCGGACAAAGATGTGGCCAATTGAAACTAATTGGAGGAAGATAGTGCCTATGTTGCACTATAGAAAACTTGACACGCATTTCACTAGGACGAGAGGTACAAGTCAGGGGTTGAATGAAAGCGCCTGGACTCACCTCAAAAGCGATTCCGAAATCAAATTTCTGAGCGGCTCGATGCAAATACTTCATCCCAGTCGAAACGCAGACCATCGGCACGCCAACCTTCTGTTCCAAATAGATCGACGAAGCCGCATTGGCATACGCAGTTTGGATCACACCGATAGTAAGCTTTCTATCTGTGGGTAAAAGCCGTTTAATGAACATTGCAAACAAGCAGGCAATCCGGTCCCCATCTAGTAGGATAATCTGTGATTCGTCTCCGGTGTTTCTGGATTTATCCGGAACGTAAAAGTAGAGAATACGGTCAGCGTCCCCGTCGATTGTGGCCCAACGACTACCGGGGTCTAGAGGGTTAGCCCCCGACTCGTGATCATACAACTGTGGAGCTTTGCAGTACGTCTGAACGAACAAAGATGTACCAAAAATGAAGAGTGAAGCAGAACAAAAGAAATTCCTCATTCCTAGAACGAACCATATCACGAAGAAACTCGTTTCTCGTAATTTATTTGATACTTGAAGAAAAAGTATCCTACTGAGAATGGAACTACACAATACTTAACTGCTGCAACAAAAGCCTCATGAAACAAGGTTCAGATTTATGCAACGGAATGAATTTAGGCTGGGACAGTATTCAGGACTCAGAACGGTCATTAGCCACTAATGCTCAGTGAGAAAACGAAAACCTCGCTATCGTCTGGAATGAGTGTCTTCGGGCATGACTGGTCCCCATTCCCTTTCACCGAGCAAAATGCTCCCATATGACCAAGCATCTCAGAGAGCTGCTGTTGAAAAAACCACAGTCACGGCCTTCTCTTTGCTGTGTTTTTCCATCAAAGCAAGAAGATGAAAGGCTAACTAGGTTGGTGAATTACAGGCAGTTAACCAAGGGGTATTGTTTAAATACCTTGATTCCAAACCAAGAGGCACATCTTGCTGGTTGCGGCATTTGTCACCGCTGCGATTCGGCATCGAGGTGAATTGGTCAACTTGGACGTTCAGTGCGATTCAAAGGGTGTACGATTCGATGAACCGGACACCGGCCCCAAATGAAATGCGTTTTTTACCCACGGTCCCGCTGTTCTGAGAGTCAGGCTTGTGCTAGTCAAAAGAAAGAAACTTCACCGGCTTTGACCGGAGAAACCTTGCCGCATTGTGTCCACTAGCAAAACATAGTTTTAATTCCCTAAGCTGATCCTTGTGCTGCGATTTGTTTGGCACACAGTTTGGACTCACGCGTGCTAAGTATGATAGAAGAAATATGATGACGAACCTCAGTCAGTCACTCAAGAGACAGTATTTAAATCAATCTAGCAAAAGTGTTCCATGGTAAAACAAGGTTGACCGGAACGTATCAGGGTTACCATATTTCATGTCCGTTGTCTAAAATGCACTATCAAAGGTGACGGAAAACAAGAATGAACTGTAGGGGACTCGGAGAGCCGGTGCACTATGATGC